TGCGACTGACCTAGCTTGTGCGACTGACCTAGCTTGTGCGACTGACCTAGCTTGTGCGACTGACCTAGCTTGTGTGACTGACCTAGCTTGTGTGACTGACCTAGCTTGTGTGACTGACCTAGCTTGTGTGACTGACCTAGCTTGTGTGACTGACCTAGCTTGTGTGACTGACCTAGCTTGTGTGACTGACCTAGCTTGTGTGACTGACCTAGCTTGTGCGACTGACCTAGCTTGTGCGACTGACCTAGCTTGTGCGACTGACCTAGCTTGTGCGACTGACCTAGCTTGTGCGACTGACCTAGCTTGTGCGACTGACCTAGCTTGTGCGACTGACCTAGCTTGTGCGACTGACCTAGCTTGTGCGACTGACCTAGCTTGTGCGACTGACCTAGCTTGTGCGACTGACCTAGCTTGTGCGACTGACCTAGCTTGTGCGACTGACCTAGCTTGTGCGACTGACCTAGCTTGTGCGACTGACCTAGCTTGTGCGACTGACCTAGCTTGTGCGACTGACCTAGCTTGTGCGACTGACCTAGCTTGTGCGACTGACCTAGCTTGTGCGACTGACCTAGCTTGTGCGACTGACCTAGCTTGTGCGACTGACCTAGCTTGTGCGACTGACCTAGCTTGTGCGACTGACCTAGCTTGTGCGACTGACCTAGCTTGTGCGACTGACCTAGCTTGTGCGACTGACCTAGCTTGTGCGACTGACCTAGCTTGTGCGACTGACCTAGCTTGTGCGACTGACCTAGCTTGTGCGACTGACCTAGCTTGTGCGACTGACCTAGCTTGTGCGACTGACCTAGCTTGTGCGACTGACCTAGCTTGTGCGACTGACCTAGCTTGTGCGACTGACCTAGCTTGTGCGACTGACCTAGCTTGTGCGACTGACCTAGCTTGTGCGACTGACCTAGCTTGTGCGACTGACCTAGCTTGTGCGACTGACCTAGCTTGTGCGACTGACCTAGCTTGTGCGACTGACCTAGCTTGTGCGACTGACCTAGCTTGTGCGACTGACCTAGCTTGTGCGACTGACCTAGCTTGTGCGACTGACCTAGCTTGTGCGACTGACCTAGCTTGTGCGACTGACCTAGCTTGTGCGACTGACCTAGCTTGTGCGACTGACCTAGCTTGTGCGACTGACCTAGCTTGTGCGACTGACCTAGCTTGTGCGACTGACCTAGCTTGTGCGACTGACCTAGCTTGTGCGACTGACCTAGCTTGTGCGACTGACCTAGCTTGTGCGACTGACCTAGCTTGTGCGACTGACCTAGCTTGTGCGACTGACCTAGCTTGTGCGACTGACCTAGCTTGTGCGACTGACCTAGCTTGTGCGACTGACCTAGCTTGTGCGACTGACCTAGCTTGTGCGACTGACCTAGCTTGTGCGACTGACCTAGCTTGTGCGACTGACCTAGCTTGTGCGACTGACCTAGCTTGTGCGACTGACCTAGCTTGTGTGACTGACCTAGCTTGTGTGACTGACCTAGCTTGTGTGACTGACCTGCGGCTTGCCGCCGTTTACCATCCTATCCGTTTTGGCGCTCGCCACTCACATTTCTTGCCCCTTCTGTCTGTCTCCCCTGCTCCTCCTCTCCTCCTGACGTTCCCTTGTTCTGCTGCCATCTTACTTCATGCCAAATGCATGTGTATGCAAGCTTGAGCCAAATGTGGGTTGAAACCCATGTCCTACATCTTGTAATTTGGTGCTTGTTATGGTCCGTATCTCTTCTCATATTCACATGTCTGCCTTATTGTGTGCTTTCTTCCCCCCTCTTTTTGCTTTTTTTTCAAGACAATTGAACCTTCACTACGCAGGCCTCCGTTTGCTTTCGCCGTGCTCTAGAGGCGGCTGGACATAAAAATCAGTCACCTAACGAGGGTCGTTCAAACTGGGCCATTGAAACGTATGGCTGCTGACAGAATGATGGGTGGACTAAATGAGTTCATAAAAGAGGCGGTGCTGGCAGCAATGAGAGAGGAGCTGGCTGCTGTGATTGAGGAGAGGGATAAAGCGGTGGCAGCTGTGAAGAGGGAGATGGAAGCAATGAAGGTTGAGTTTGCAGCTCTGAAAGGGGAGCTGACTGAACACAATCAGTCAACCAAGTTGCAGCTGGAAGAGGCTGAAAAGAGACGAGTGGTGGAGATGAGGGAGATGAGAGGGCAGGTGGAGGAGAGGGAGAGGGAGAGGGAGCTGACTGTACTGAAGGGGGAGCTGGCTGAACTCATGAACGCTATGACTGAGCAACTGGGTAATGCTGAAAGAAGGAGAGAATCTGGTATGAGAGAGGTGAGAGATGAAGCGAGAGCGGAGTTGGCAAGGGAGAGGAAGAAGAGGAGGAGGGAAATGCAGGAGCTGGAATGGCCACGTGCCATGGAGGATTTGGCAGAGTGCAGAAACTGGGTGAACATTCAGAAGGAAATTAGCCAGAGTAAAGGCCATGAGAAGGCTGCTTGGGAGGTGAGTGATGAGTGAAGTGAACTGCTTCACAGCGCATGCTTGGTTTGACAGGCATGCTTGGTTTGACAGGCATGCTTGGTTTGACAGGCATGCTCGGTTTGCAGGCATGCATGGTTTGACAGGACATGCATGGTTTGACAGATTCATGGTTTGACAGGGCATGCATGGTTTGACAGATTCATGGATTGACAAGGCATGCATGGTTTGACAGATTCATGGTTTGACAAGGCATGCATGGTTTGACAGGCATGTATGGTTTCAGATAACGTGTTTATTTGCTACTGTCACGATGGTCATTTCCTCCCTTCTCATTCATTCCTTCTTTACCCATCACCACCAGCGAATCAAGTCTACATCACAAGAAACGGAATCTCTAGTTTTGAAGGGCCTCAAGGGCCTTTCAGACTCTATCCTCAGCCACTTGTCAACACTGGTCAACCTGAAGTGGATAGACTTGAAAGACACCTCGGGCTTCAGTGCCGAGGGCATCAAGCACCTCTACAGGCTGCCACAGCTGGAAAAGCTAGACTTTACATGGTCAGATGTGTCAGACAGTGCCTTGGAAGGCATTGGGTCCTTGACCAGTCTCAAGATCCTACGTCTGTGCGATACCAAGGTGACCGATGCTGGCCTGGCGCACCTGACAGGGTTGTCCTCTCTCAGAGAACTCGATCTTTCCCAATGCACGGATGTGACAGATGCTGGCATGGTGCATGTGGGGAGGCTGACAGGGCTTGAGAACCTTTTTCTGAGGCGGATGGCCATCACGGATGCTGGGCTGCAGCAGCTGTCTGCCCTGACCAAGCTGAGAAGGGCGATGCCTTGAGCAATGATGGAGGCGATCATGGTGGGCGCAGCCGCAGTTGCAGCAGCAGTGACAGCAGCAGTGGTGGCAGCAGTGGCGGCAGCAGCAGGGGCGGTAGCGGCGGCAGCAGCGGCAGCGGTTGCAGCAGCAGTTGCAGCAGCAGTGACAGCAGCAGCAGTGACAGCAGCAGTGGTGACAGCAGTGGCGTCAGCAGGGGCGGTAGCAGCGGCAGCAGCGGCAGTGGTGGCAGCAGCAGTCGCAGCAGCAGTGATAGCAGCAGTGGCGGCAGCACAAGCAGCAACAGTGGCGGTAGCACTGACAACAGCAGTGGCGGCAGCACTAGCAGCAGCAGTGGCGGTAGCACTGACAGCACCAGTGGCGGCAGTAGTGGCGGCAGCAATAGCGGCACCAGTGGCGGTAGCAGTGACAGCAGCAGTTGCGGCAGCAGTGGCAACAGCAGCAGTGGCAGCAGTGGCAGCAGTGGCAGCAGCAGTTGCGACAGCAGTGGCAGCAGCAGAGGCAGTAGCAGAGGCGCCAGCAGTAGCAGCAACAGTGGTAGCATCAGTGGTGGCAGCAGCAGTGGGCGAGGGTTGAGATCAGGGGTGAGTAATGTCTTGCATGGCTGCTTTAGAAGAGCTGCATAAGAAATGCTTTTTGTTTGGGTGCAGGGTGTACAAATATCTTAGCACCCATCGAAGAAGAGGGCACAGTTTGTGTGATGGAGCTTTCAAGGCATTGCTTTAAGTAACATGAGCACCTTTAGTAAGCTTTGCATGATTGTTATTCTTCATCAATGCTGCGACATGGTACCCATCACACAATGCTGAGTTGGTGGAGATAGGGTCAGCCTTGACCTGGATGGCATATTGGACATGTATGTTGAGAACTTTGATCTCTCCTGCTGCTGGGTTTCCATGCAATAAGTTGTGCACACATGAGCCTTCACGTCATACTGCAATGTGGCGTAATGTGAAGCAGCTGCATGCGGGTGTGCTGAGCTTTAACTAGTCTCGCTGGCCCGATGTTGGGATGCAAGGCAAGCTAGAACCCCACTGTAGTATTTTGTCAAACTCAAAATGGCCTCTATTCTCAATTCAGCACTATGAACAGCTCCATGCCACATGTAACGATATATCAGGGATTCAGGTGTCGTTAAGTCGTACATTCTGAAGCGGAAGGCACTGCGAGAGCTGGCGACACACAGGAGGGAGAGCTGTTTGCAACGCATCAGTGAGAACCAGATTCATTACATGGAGTTCTTTGTTTCCCACTTGCCTCCTGCAAGTCAGTGAAAGGGCCATATGGGTGGGTGCGCTGCAGCATATATGACTCTTATCCTTTCCCACACAGGCACACGTACACTTTTGCTTTACAACTGCCCTCCGTCCTACGGATCATGCCATGCCACCCAGCTTAGCCAGCAAAGACTCATCTTGCATGCTGCGGCACATGAGTTTGCGTGCATGCTTATGTTGTGATACAAATGAAACAGAATGTGAAAAAACTGCACTTCCGCACTGCACACACTCCACCCGCTCTATGCACCCCCTTGTGGCTGGTTACCAAGGACTCAGCTTCTGCTGCTGTGTGGTACCCACCCACACTGTATCCTGAGATTAAGAGAGGTATGTATGTGTGAGAGGGCAGGACAGAGGGAAACGAAAGTAATTCAAAAACGGCGGTGCAGAGGGATAAGTTGTATGGGAGGAAGAATGGGGTGAGGTATGGGGCCAAATGCCTGACAATGTTTGTGATGAGGGATGGAATGAGGCGTGGAATGAGGTGTGGAATGAGGCGTGGAATGAGGCGTGGAATGAGGTGTGGAATGAGGCGTGGAATGAGGCGTGGGATGAGGCGTGGAATGAGGCGTGGGATGAGGTGTGGGATGAGGCGTGGAATGAGGCATGGAATGAGGCGTGGAATGAGGCGTGGAATGAGGCGTGGAATGACGGGTGGGATGAGGCGTGGAATGAGGCGTGGAATGAGGCGTGGAATGAGGCGTGGAATGAGGTGTGGAATGAGGCGTGGAATGGGGTGTGGAATGAGGTGTGGGATGAGGCCTGGAATGAGGTGTGGGATGAGGCGTGGAATGAGGCGTGGAATGAGGCGTGGAATGAGGCGTGGAATGAGGCGTGGAATGAGGCGTGGAATGAGGCGTGGAATGAGGCGTGGAATGAGGTGTGGGATGAGGCCTGGAATGAGGTGTGGGATGAGGCGTGGAATGAGGCGTGGAATGAGGCGTGGAATGAGGCGTGGAATGAGGCGTGGAATGAGGCGTGGAATGAGGCGTGGAATGAGGTGTGGAATGTTGTGGGGGTAGGGGAAGAGATTCTTGAGAGTTTATATGGCAGTGTTGCCTCTCTGCTGCCATCATCAACCAATCACCAAGAAGGGAATGGAGGGGGGGGAAGGGGAAAAGGGGTGGGAAGGGCGATAGGGGTCAGGGCATATCAGCACAGGAGGGCGAATGGGGCATGGAGGGGGGGACTGAGGGAGAGCAGATTGTCATGGTGTTGCTAATGTGGGAGGGAGGGAGCGGGTGGAATGAAAGTAGAGGTGGCGGTTGTTTCGATGGTGGTGGTTGTTTCATGGTGGTCCCAAAACTACTCTAGTGAAGAGCGCGAAATGGAGCAGTAGGCTTTCGGCTCTCCCCGAGTCGGGTCGGGTCGGCCCGTACGGGGCAGGGTTTCGAAAACCCTGACCCGACCCGGGGAAAAACACGGGTCGGGTCGGGTCAGCCCGACCCGAACGGGCCACATGCTCAACTCTACCGCCCTCCCCCCAAGCCTCCCACCACCACCACGGCTGCCGCCAATGCCTCTTGCGCCGCCAATGCCTCTTGCGCCGCCAATGCCTCTTGCGCCGCCAATGCCTCTTGCGCCGCCAATGCCTCTTGCGCCGCCAATGCCTCTTGCGCCGCCAATGCCTCTTGCGCCGCCAATGCCTCTTGCGCCGCCAATGCCTCTTGCGCCGCCAATGCCTCTTGCGCCGCCAATGCCTCTTGCGCCGCCAATGCCTCTTGCGCCGCCAATGCCTCTTGCGCCGCCAATGCCTCTTGCGCCGCCAATGCCTCTTGCGCCGCCAATGCCTCTTGCGCCGCCAATGCCTCTTGCGCCGCCAATGCCTCTTGCGCCGCCAATGCCTCTTGCGCCGCCAATGCCTCTTGCGCCGCCAATGCCTCTTGCGCCGCCAATGCCTCTTGCGCCGCCAATGCCTCTTGCGCCGCCAATGCCTCTTGCGCCGCCAATGCCTCTTGCGCCGCCAATGCCTCTTGCGCCGCCAATGCCTCTTGCGCCGCCAATGCCTCTTGCGCCGCCAATGCCTCTTGCGCCGCCAATGCCTCTTGCGCCGCCAATGCCTCTTGCGCCGCCAATGCCTCTTGCGCCGCCAATGCCTCTTGCGCCGCCAATGCCTCTTGCGCCGCCAATGCCTCTTGCGCCGCCAATGCCTCTTGCGCCGCCAATGCCTCTTGCGCCGCCAATGCCTCTTGCGCCGCCAATGCCTCTTCCGCTGCCATTGCCTCGTGCCCACCTTCGTCACATCAGCAGCAGCATGCCTGGTTGAACAGTTCCTGGGCAGGCGTCACAGGGGAGGGACTTTTGGCTAAAAAACGCGAGGCGTAAACAGCTTGCAGTGGATTGGTCGGCAGGCATGAGGCAGCAGGCATGAGGCAGCAGGCATGAGGCAGCAGGCATGAGGCAGCAGGCATGAGGCAGCAGGCATGAGGCGGTAGGCATCCACGTGGTCTTGAAGCAGCACTGTCAGCACCAACGAGGCTGCATGTGGCAGCATCACCACCAGGCAGCCTACGATTCATGGCACCAGTGGCGGCCACTCTCATCCACAGCCCCTCCAACCTCACCCTGTCAACTCCAACCTTCCTCTCCAAGTCACCTGAGAGTGACCTGGGAAACACCTGAGAGTGACCTGAGGGTCAAGTGTGAATGTGATCTGCTACTGACCCACTGGTGTGACCCATGATTAGCCCATGTTCCTCGTACCAGTGAACAACAGCAGCATTAACCCATTATACAGCCCAACTCCTTCCTCACATTACAAATCTCTCCCTCCCGCTGCTTGTCCGTGACAAAAAAAAACGCTTCAGGGCACCCAGCAGCCTGGCCAGCCTTGCGTCACACGCGACCCACTAGCGACTTAATAGTATCATGCAGCTCACCACTCCATCCACAGCCACACCACACCTCTCCCCTCGGCTCGTCTGTGAGCAACAACACCGGCAAGAGCCAGCCAGCAGCCCCGCACGTCTCACGCTACTCCGCCACGCCAACAGCTCACAGGTTGCATTGCATGCGAACGGTGCACCCGTGGTAACGGGAGTCGGTGAATCCGTGCGTGGGTGTAGGGGAAGCAGGTGCGGAGCTGGAAAGACGGGGGAGGGGAAAGGGGGTGAAAGGAACAGTGTGATACTTGAATCACTTAGACGAATCTCAGGAAATTACAAAAGCGAGGACAAAACGTGCGAAACAGTGTCATTGGCTGAGAGAAGAGGTGGGAGTGAGTGCCATGGCAGACAAAAGTCAGCTAGGAATTTCAGGTGCAGAGCGGCGGGGTGGCGCAAGGGGTGGGGGGGGGGGGGGGGGGGGGGAGGGGGGAGGGGAGGGGGAGGGAGGGAGTTGGAAGAGGGAGGGAACAGCAGCGAAGGAGGGAAGAGAGCAGCACCATGGCGGGAAGGATAGCATGAGGGCTCAGGCAGGAGGACGACAAGTGAATGATTCTAAGGACAACTCAGAATCCACGATAGTTCTGGCCGGCAGGAGTAACATGGCAGGCCGGCAGGGACGCAAGGGACAAGTGGGGGTGAAGAAAACGCCAGCGCGCAGCTGGGGAGACAATCACTACTTTTTCCGCAACGTCGCTGGCGGTGGTGCAGAGGCGGGTGCGAAGCATCAGCTTGGGAGGCGTCATCTTGGCGAGGTGATGCCAACACCCGCACATCGCAGGCCCAACCGCTCCAATTGGACTGCGTGCGATGCGATTGTAGGGACTAGTCGCGACACCAGCCACGGCAGAGCCTAACGTTGGGGCTGGAAACCGGGGTCTGGGGAGGGGTACGTTAGGGGGAATGAGAAGAGAAACGGGAAGGAGAGGGAGCAAGCAAAGGTACATTGCCCGTCCACACCCACTGCCCGTGCACACCCATTGCCCGTCCACACCCACTGCCCGTCCACACCCACTGCCCGTCCACACCCATTGCCCGTCCACACCCACTGCCCGTCCACACCCACTGCCCGTCCACACCCACTGCCTAGCTCCTGTGTGGGAACATTTCAAAGCTTGTCTGACCTGCCGAGCTCCACGGCTCTGTTGCCGGCAGTGGTGAAATCGGGCTCATACGGTGCTGAGTTGAGTGCATTCATGCTGTGCTTGGCGCTGCCATCATCTCAAGGGATGGGCCCACAAGGATTCGAAGGTACGGGGAGGGAAGAGAAAGACATTGAAGAGGAAGTTGCGAGGGAAGTTAGGGTTTTGAGGGAGGCTTGAAGTGGGATTTAACAAGATGTGTAGGAGGTCCAGAGGCATCAAGGAGGCTTACAAGAAGGAAGGCTGAATTCATGCCATCTGAACCACCCGAATCGAATCATACACGCAAGAGAGAGTCGTTAAGTGAGTACAATGTATGCATGTAAGTCGCTCCGAGCAGCAGCCACCCTCCCCCACATCCCCCTTCCCTTCCGACACTTACACAGGTACTCTGCCCTAACCCGAACTCAATTCTCGACGTTCCCCTCTCCCCCTTCCCCACCCCCTCTTTCTCCCCCTGCTTTTCAACCTTCTCTCACCGTGACACGAAGAACGCTCTGATAACGACTTGCACAGCCCCCCATGTGGACGAGAGGAAGCCGACCTGTAATGAGGACGCTCCTAACGCGGACAGAGGGTTCAGAGGCAGAACACCAGGAACCGGAGGGGAGGAGTAAGGCGCAGGGGCGCAGGTTGAGGGTCAAGGGGGCGGGGAAAAAGGGAAGGGTCAGGCGAAGGGGCTAGGGGAGGGCAGGGAGAAGAGGCAGGGGGGAAGGACGCATGTTGAGGGGGAGGGAGGCGGGGCGATGGGAAATAGGCAAAGGAAAGGCGGACTGGGAAGGGTCAAGGGTGGGATATGGGGGGGACAGGGGAGAGGGCAAATGAGAAGGGGCATGCAGGAGGGATAGGGGGAGGTGCAGATGGGAGGGGCAAAGAGAACAGGAAAGGGGATGGGCAAAGGGGAGGAGTAAGGGGAAGGGGCAATGTAGAGGGACCAAGGGAAAGGCGCAAGGGGAAAGGGCGTACCTAGCTCGGTAATGGGCAACGTAACAGGTGGCACTCTGTTCTTTCCAAACTTCATGTGATGGAAGCAGTTAATACAATTACTGACCAGAAATGACCTTGATCACACGGAGATATTTCACACGAACAATCAAGGGTAGCAAGACTTTCAGCCGACCAGTCAGGGAAACTTTGGGGCTGTGTCGGTTATCTAACACAACCCAATATGCGATTACCAGAAGAACGAGCAGCTTGAGACTGTTAATGTCACGCTTCAGGAGGGCGCGATGCGATTCCAAAACAAAACTGACAAGGGAAACAGAGAATAACTTAAAGTTCGCAATGAACAGCACCACAGGAACAATCAGGGGTAGGAAGACTGGCAAGTCAGCTGGTGACCCCTGATGCCTTGCCAGCATTCCTGCCCCTGATGCTTTGACCTATTCTACTCCCCACGAATCTAAGCAAATCTACCCAGGCACACACGGCTGAAAGGCGTTCAATCACAACCACGACAGCAGCAGCCCTCAGCTGCAGCACCAGCAACCTGCATGCGCTTGTTCATCATCAACCTAGCTGACGCCACAAGCATCAGCCTGGGTTTACACCCACCCTGTCTGTCAGCCGCCAACAAATCAAGCAGCAGCAGCAGCAGCAGGGCAGTGGAGCATCAAGCAGCAGCGGCGGGCATCTTGGCGCCCATGAGCTGCCCGCCCCACGTCACACCTGCTGCACTGCTGCTCGCCAGCACAGCATACCCGCTCACCGTGCTCTTCACTCCGCCATCGCCACCTGGAAATCCACCTGAAAAATCACCTGCAGGCGGCTGCTGCGCTCCCCCCTGCTGCTGCTGCTGCTGCTGCTCCCCCCTGCTTCTGTCCCCCCTGCCTGGCAGCGCGCCCGAATGCGCGCATCAGCAGCTCCTGCCCCATACGCCTCCCGCCCTGCCCGTTCCGCGCGCCCCCCGCGCTGCCTCCGCCAGCGTTGCCTGCGCCGTTGCGCCGGCCGCCGCTGGAGGGCGGAAGCGAGGCGGTGGGGAGCACGGCGAGCAGCGCGTCGAGGGTGGCGGCTGTCAACGGGAGTTGGGTGTTGGCCCCGTCCTCGCTTGGGCGGAGCCGACTTCGTGGTCGGGTGTAGGGTGCAGCCGACCTGCAGCAGTGGGCGAGTTGGTCGACGAGGTTGGTCGACCTGCACGGGGAGCCACTGCATGGGCGCCGACGTCGGGAGGGCGCCAACTTCGGCTGGTCGACCTGGGACGTCGACCAGCCCTTCTGGTCGACCTGGGACGTCGACTTGCAGCTGGTCAACCAGGGGATAGTGGTCGACCTGGGGAGGTCGACTGGAGGTGGCCGTCGACTTGGGAGGTCGACCGGCACGTACCAGAGGCAGTGGTCGACCTGGGAGGTCGACCGGAAGTGGTCGTCGACCTGGGTGGTCGACGGGCACGCACTGGAGCCTCTGGTCGACCTGGTTGCAAGGTCGACCAGGTTACCTGGGTGACGAGGTGCTGCGAAGGCTTGCGATGGTCGCCCAGGTGGTTTTGGCGAGGACGACCTCGGTGATGGTATCCCGAGGTCGACGTGGTGCATCAGATGCAGTCGTCAGCACGAGGTGGACTTGGTGTGTGCAGGTGACGAAGCAGTGCACGCCAATCATCTACGAGCACCTGCGAAATTTACGAGCACCTGCGAAGCGGGTGCGATGCTGGACTGCAAAAGCAACGCTGGCACGCCGTCGACTTGCGCTGTTGTCACGCCGTCGACCTGCAGCGTTGGCAAGCCGCGTCTCTGCACTGCTGGAGCGCGGTCGACCAAGTCGTGCTGGCACGCGGTCGACCGTGCTGCGCTGGCAGTCGACCTGTTTGCATCCTAGCTCTGATGTAGTCTTTCCTAGCCAACTTCATTGTATCATTGTTGTCATCCCCTTGCAAGGCGAGGCCGGGAAGCAGGTTCTCATCCCCGACGTGCTGTACGTCCCGGGTGTGCGGGCCAACCTGTTGTCGTCCGGCCAGCTGAAGGAGCATGGCGTGAAGTTTCAGGAGGACGGCGATGGTGTGCTGCTCATCTCGGCAGCGGGAGAGGTGCTTGGTCGGGCGACGTACTCCGGGCGAGTCCTCTGCACAGACCTGCGTCCCTGCTCAACGAGGTCGACGTCGCCCACGCCGGAGGTTGTGGCCCTGCGGGCGATCGTCTCCAAGTCGAAGTCGACGCCGGCCAGGATGCATGCTCGGCTTGCGCACGCCGGCATGGACACCATCAGGAGCTCGGCGAAGAACGAGGTCGCCATTGGGCTGGACCTCAAGTCGGCGACGGGCGCCGACCCACCGTGTGTCTCGTGCGTCGGCGGGAAGCTGGCGCGGCACACCTTCCCCGACCAAGGCTCCGACGCCGCCGACGTGCTAGCCGTCGTCCACATCGACTTGTGTGGGCCGTTCCGCGAGGCTGCCAAGGACGGTAGCCTGTACTTCTTGCTGCTGAAGGACCGCAAGACCCGCTTCGTGTGGGTGAGGCCAGTCGCCAAGAAGTCGGACGTGCTGCTGGAGTTCCAGAAGTGGCTGGTGCTGGTGGAGAGGCAGACGAAGAAGTCGGTGCTGATGCTGCGCTCGGACCGAGGCGGGGAGTTCCTCGGGAAGACGTTCACCGACTTCGTGGACGGCAAAGGGATCGTCCACGACCTGACCTGCCCGTACACCCCGCAGCAGAACGGCATAACGGAGCGGGAGATGCGGACGGTGGTGGAGTCGGTGAGGACGATGCTACTGCACATGGGCGTGCAGCACCACTGGTGGCACCTCGCCCTGCGGCAGGCCGTCTGGATCCGCAACTGCCTCGAGCGGTCGGCGACGCCGGGGACGACGCCATACCAGCTGCTGACCGGGACGAAGCCCGACTTGTCGCTGGCGCGCGTGTGGGGCTGCATGGCGCAGTTCCTCGTCCCCGAGCAGCAGCGGGGTGGCAAGCTGAAGCCGAAGGCCAAGTGGGGCCTTCACCTCGGCGTGTCGGAGTTGAGCAAGGGCTGGGAGGTCCTCGACATCGCCGCCAACCGGGTGGTCACCACGTCGGACGTGGTGTTCTACGAGGACCTGTCGCTGGAGGAGTGGAGGTCGGCGCATGGCCCCGTGTCAGGGCGGACACTGATGGCCACGCCGACGGATACCTCGACGGCAATGCTCCCTCTGCTCGCTGAGGTCGGTGAGCTTGCTGAGGACGACGCCGAGGTCGTCCACCCTTCCTCTACCCCCCCTGCCCCTCCCCTCGTCGACCTGCGTGGGCTGACTCCGCCGTCGGCCTCCGGCGATGAGGGGAGCAGTGGGACGTCGCCTGTGGCGCCGACCAAGGGCATCGCCGGTGGCCGACAGGACGAGCGGCAAGTCGACGAGCAGCAGGTCAACAAGCAGCAGGTCGACAAGCAGCAGGTCGACCTGGGAGTGCAGTCGACTTGGATAAGGAGGGAGCCGGTCGAGGAGGTGCAGCCGACTAGGGTGACGCCGACAGGGGAGCAGGCAGCAGCGAGGCCGACCAAGGAGCAGTCGGCGACCTAGCAGCCGGCAGGGGAGCTGACCGGGGGAGAAGTCGGTCGGGACGCCGACCGAAGTGCAGCAGGACGACGAGGATGGCGGTGCAGATGAAGGGGAGCAGTTGGGCGATGAGGAGCTGGTCGACCAGGAGGTGGCCGACCAGTCCACCGACCATGACGAGGTGGGGGTTCCGCCTGAACCCCGGAAGTCTGGTCGACTTCGAAGGCCGCCTGACTTCTTCATTCCCGCTGCCTTCACCACGGTGTACGACGTGGAGGACGACGACGACCTGCTGTACGACGACGCTGATGAGGACGACGAGGTTCCGGAGCTCGACCCCGACATACTGGCCGACCCCGAACACCGCTGGGACATCTCGACGATGACGGTGAAGGAGGCGCTAGCGAGCTGGAAGGGTCCGGCGGTGAAGGCCGCCATGGAGGAAGAGATCCGTAGTCTCCTCGCCATGGGCACGTGGGAGCTGGTCGAACGCCCGCCGGGAGTGAATGTCATGAAGAACCGGTGGGTGCTGACGACGAAGTACAACATCGACGACACCGTCGAGCGGGAGAAGGCGAGGCTGGTCGTGAAGGGCTT